CTAATTGATATGGGAGGGCCCAGTTCACTGTGGGCGGTGCCATCCCTAGGCAGGCAGGCTTGGGCTGTATAAGAAAGGTTGCTGGGCAAGCCAGGGGGAGGAAGCCAGTCAGCAGCTCTCCTTCGTGGTCTCTGCTTCAGCTCCTGCCTCCAGGCTCCTGCCCTGAGTACCTGCCCTGGCTTCCCTCAGTGAAGTCAAGCTGTAAGCAGAAATAAGCCCTTTCTTCCCCAGATTGCTTTTGGTCAGTGTTTTATTGGAGTGACAGAGAAAAAAACAGAAACACGTGGTAAGGGTGTACATAGGTCACTGCTACACGGAATGACGGATGAACAGCACCAGAGCTACTCACAAGAGCTCACGCTGTAAAATTCTGCTTCTACAAAGAGAGAGTAGGAAGGTTTGTTTGTAGAGAAACGAGACAGAGGAGCTGGGGGAAGTCAGGGAAGCGTCTGAGCTATGGCTCTGGTTCTATTTATGAGTGGGCTTTGTGCCCCATCTGCCAAGAATTAAATCACTCAGGGTGTATATAATTGTCTCTATGAAAGTTACAGGCTTATTAAGAAGGTGGAACATCTCGAATAAGCTGTATTGAGTGCAATTTATACATTTCAGAATGCTTCGATAAAACAGGTGAGGAATTACAGACAACTAATTTGGAGTTATGCTGTCGGTGACTGCTCTTTCATTCCAGCTACTCAGAAATCTGGGAAAAATCTAGATGTTTCTCTTTGCAAGGAGCTGTGATAAATGGCTGTTCAGGTGCTGAGAATAAGTGATATATCCTATCAGGCCATTTCTAAGGCTCAGGAGACACCGAGGAAGAGGAAGCGGGAAGGAATGTAAGAGCAGGAGGATGGGAAAGGGCTGCAAAACGCCATCTTTAGGGCAGGACGCAGCCGTTCACACAGGGTCACAGCGGCTGGGCTGCGGGTACCTGCACCAAGCGTGCACAAGACTGGACCTGTCATCTGTCAATCATGGATCAGGGAGGGGCTCACAGGGCCAAACTCTAGGCAGCTGAGCTTCTGAATACTGGTAGATTTTAGAGGAGGGAGAGTCACTCTCTTCAGCTGTGAAAATGCAGATGAGCCTGCCAGGCTCCAGTGGATAGTTTGAGACCCAGGGTCACACAAGCAGGCCTGGTTGGAAAACAAACAAAACAAAACAAAATAAAAAGGGAGACTGTGGGAAGGGACTTGAGGGAGTGTTGACAGGGATGGGAGGGAGGTAAGAGAGGGTCCGGAGTGTGATTAGTCAGAAGGTATTACACACATGAGTAGAAGTTATGGAAAAGAAAATTGAGATAAAAAATTTTAAAGATTGTACATGAATGCCCATAGATGCGGTTCGTAGTTACAGTAACTGGAAAGTCGATACTGCTCAAATGCACATGAGCAGATGTTCAGATAAACAAAATGTGGCATATCCACACAGCGGAGTATTATTTACTCATCAAAAAGCATGGACACTGATTCATGCTAAACATGGATGACCCAAGAAAATGAGGTAAGTAAAGAGGACAGTCCACACAGAGCCATTGTAGATTAATTGCTGCCGAGGTTAAGGGGCAGAGGGACAGAGACATGAGTACTGATAGGTGCAGGGTTCCTTGTGGGTGATGAAACAGCCTCGACTTGGATAGTAGTTATGGCTGCACACTCCTGTGACTGCACTAAAATCCAATGAATTGTACTTTATCAGAGGGAGAATTCTATGGTAGGAGAATTATGTCTCAATAAATCTGTTACTAATACAAACTTAATGGATTAGGGATCAAAAGTGATAAAGTTAAAAATGAAATCAACTGACGTTTTTCTGCCTCAGCTAATTCATTAAGAGGAAAAGGCGACTCTCCAACATCAGAGATGAAACGGCTCTTTCATTGTTTGCTAAATCCAGCGAAGAGGAGAGACTCTTAATGAGCATATTGGAAACAGATTTAAACGCTTGCCAACGCGACCTGTCATATTGACATCAATAAAGACAACACAAAACTCACAACATGTCACCAAACAAGGCCACGGATGACAGCCCAGTTAACACGTGGCATCAGTGTAAAGATTAGCCATTATGCAAGATTGCTTGAAAATGCACAGCTCCTAGAGACAGGAGCTTGATAGAGATTTTCTCAAATTTGACAACAATCTTTAACATTTACACAAGTTTTCCAATAGGGAAATGTGTTTTGAAGGCAGAACAGTCTCTAAACTATCAATCATACACAGCAATTTAAAAAGAAAAAAACAAACTCTGCTAGAGGAAAGACTAGCCTTGTACCTGCATTTCAATAGAAAATGATGTTACCTATCTATGATCCGTGGAGGCCCTGGAGACTGCAGGCAAACCGTTAGGAGAAAAAGAATTACAGAGCGTCACTAGACAGTTGATTAAGAAAGTATTTTCATATTGAAAAAGCTAAAGCCAAAAAGTAGGTAAGATTCCCAGGATGTGATGTATTCAGGAAGACGGCGTACAGGCCTTGAAGGAGAGGCTGGCCCCAGGCCACCCCTGACTGCCTGATGTGAGTATCTGCCCTGGGCTCTGGTTCCAATGGGCATCTTCAGCCTGGGGCCATTTGTTTCTACCGCCCCCCCCCCATGAAAACGAGGGCTTCCCTCTAATCCTGCCGCTCTCTTTTTCCAGATGGAAAACAGGAGTTGAAGCTTTCGGGCCTCATTATAATACTTATTGTAATGTAGTTCAAACACAAAGCATTTATTTAGAAGGAGCTTAAGCTACAACCAGATCAAGCCAGTCACTATTCCATCATGAAGGGCTGAGGGGCTCTTGAGCCTATACCCCTAGCGGAGGAGCTATGGAGAGTTGATGGCATCTGGGGGAGGGAGAGTCAGTTTTCCTTAAGGCCCTGGTAGGTCAAGCATGCTCAGGTGGATGACCCCACACCCAGGAGCATATGGACTGCACAAATTAGAATCAATGAGTTATTTTAAAAAAGAGGACAGGAAGTCGGGAAGGGTGGGTTGGGTAGGACAGCTAACGTCTCTGAGCAAGTCTGTCACACTTCATGTTTCTTAGCCGCTCTTCATACTTCTTAAATTGCATCTCCTCAGGAGTTTAGACCTGGGCTCTGCTCCAAGGTCCACTTGAAGAATGGTGTTTGTTTTTTGCTGCTGTGTGCAGGTGACCACACTCTATACTGTTCAGCATCTTCAGCTTAACTTTAAGAATCTCTGAAAATTTTCCTTGAACTCAACTATTACCAATGAGAACAAAAATACCCCTCAGTCTCCAGGTTTGGTTCAGGCCCAGTCACACATTCATCCTCTTTCAGAATGGAGTCAGCCGCAGAGAAGGCTGTACCACCGTCACAAATTAACCTCTCATCTTACAGCAAGGAGGGGCTTATTTTAGAATGGGGCTCTATTATTTTGTCTTCATCTCTGTTTGTGTTAAATATTGCAATGTGCTGTGGGTACTGATTCTGAAATGGATAAAATAAGCGATAGATAAACTTAATAGCTTTTTAAAAATTTTTATTATTTTTATTTGTATGTGTGTATTGCCTGCATGTAGATAAGTGCACCCGTGTCATGCAATGCCTGTGGAGGTCAGAAGAGGCTGTCGGATCCCCTGGGACCGGAGTTACAGACAGTTGTTAGCTGCCATGTGGGTGCTGGGATTCAAACCTGGGTCTTCTGCAAGAACAACCAGTGTTCTTAACTGCTGAGCCATCTCTCCAGCCCCTAAGCTTAATACCTTAACTGACATCGTCCCATCTTAGAGAACACGGGACATCCGGGGTTACTCAAGTTTACAGCAAGAGAACTGTTTTCAACCACTTAATTCAGTGTTTCCCACATCTATTTGACAGGAAATCTTTTTATTCCAGTCCTCATCTTCCAAGGAGTAACTGTGGGGATAATTTCTTGAACCCATTTTTGGAAACAAAGGAATGGGTGATCTACATTAGAACTTAGAACTATTGTAGGAAGTCTTAAAATACAGCGAATATGAACTTGGTTAATTTGAGGTTGGAAATCTGAATGCCGAAGAAAACCCAGGAGAGAGGAAGATCAATATTCCCTGTGTGAGTCACACAGGACTGAGAAGCCACTGGGACTGTCCCAAACCACCCAGGGTGGTGGGATTCCTCGGAGGGCGGGTCCACCAGGGGACGCTTGGGGTGGGACACTTGCCATAGGCGAGGCTGCATTGGGCCATAGTTTGGTGCCTGGGCTTCTCATTCTGCGGCTCACTCTGCCTATGACCTTTGAACTCCATCCAGAGCTTAACAAGGAGCTCCCTTATCCATGGAAAGTGCTTAGTGCAGCCAGGCTGGCCCAGTCAGAAAAGGCACCGATGGGGCTGACGTGAGAGCACCATGGGGGGCACAGACTCAGCGGATAGCTTTGTGTGTTATCTACACCTTTCACTAGGTTGATAGGAAGGATGTCAGATCCACAGACTTGACCCTGACCCCAAAGAAGCCCTGACCTTAGCATTTAGTCATTCCACTCAAATGACTTCCTGACTGGGTACAAAGTCAGCAACAGGATGTGATCTTCCATACTCCCCCACCCCCATCACTGGTTCATTGGCATAGGTGGGGGACAAGCAGGATTCACAGCCCATAATAAAATAACAGCTCTTTTACATACGCTAACTCAGGTGTTATTTACACGTCACGGGCCACCAGGGCAGCCAGCTCTTGCTGCTGGTCAGTCCGGCCTCTGTAGCCGCACTTGATGAACGCTGAAATCACACAGGGACTCACGTAACACAGCACTACCGAAATGGCATTTTCGCATTCAAAGTTATTTTCTTATGGGCTTTAACAAGGTCAAGCACCTTTTTACATCCCAGAGCATGGACATTTTAGCTTCATACACACACTCAAATGGGAGTGTTCCAGCAGAAACCCACCTTGCTCCCACAAAGGAGTATTTTAGTCCTGAAAACAGGTAGCCACAACACTGTGTAGGAGATTACTATTGACCAGCAGCCACGGCAGGAGCCCTATGACCCCACCCTGGGCTTACCTCTTTCCTGGTGAATTTTGGGGAGTGATCGTTTTTGTCATCAATCACGATGGTGGCAGTGGCTGTGCCTGTCAGTCCGACATCCAGTCCAGCCATATCTTGAGCCTCGATGATCAGTTCATACTTGGGATTTTCCAGAGTCTACAACGGAAAAAGCACCAGAGAAGACAGTGTTTAAATCTGGGGCAGTGCCTCGGAGAAGGGCAAGCATGGGGCCGTCTCCTGTCCTCAGTTTGCTTAATGTATATAAAGTACCTTTGAAATCTCTCCAGGGTGACAGTCACATTCTAGAGACTAGAGACAATCAAGATGGAATCTGCTGACGTTGTGTACGGGGGAGATTTGATACCTTTTAGAACATTCTATAACTTGGGTGTGGTCATACATTTATATTGGTTGTTCACACCTATGCCTGTCATTTCAAGGAACCTTGTGAAGCTTATTTGGGCCCGAGGCAAATTCTAATGGTGAGGCTTTACAACAAATTGACAAATTCGAAGGGTCAGTTATTCTGTAAAGAAATCCCTGCAGCTGATCTTTTTAACAAGCACATCAACTGATCGCCACTCCCATTTTACAGGTAAAAACAGAGAGATTTAGTTTCTTACGTGGTATTTTTTTAGTCTCTCAGAGTACTACATTAGGTATAGACAGTTAATACAGCCATGGCCTGAAAAACTTAATATAAGCAACACACATCATTATTTCTTTTACATGTTTGTTTCTTGACCACTGGACAGACTTCAGTGACCATGTTTGTAAGAAATAAAATTTGATGGTTCATTTTCTAAAAAATGTTGTGTATTATTTTTATTTTATGTGTATGAGCGTATTGCCTGCATGTTTATAAGTGCACCTGTGTCATGCAATGCCCTCGGAGGTCAGAAGAGGGCATCAGATCCCCTGGAACTGGAGTTACAGACAGCTACCATGTGGGTACTGGGAATCAAACCTGGGTCCTCTGCAAGAGCAGCCAGTGCTCTTAATCGCTGAGCCACCTCTCTAGTCCCCTTGATGGTTCATTTTTGAAAAATGCCTTGAGCCATCTTAGGCCCAAATACAGATAAACAGAAAACGCTGTATCGTGCTAGAGTCTGCTGGCCTAGAGAGTTCCCTTCCAACCCTGCCAGGCCTCCCACCCAAACTAGAAGCTTATTGTAGAAAATTACCAACATCAAACCTTGCTAACGACCTACAGGCTTAACAAGGTCATGTGCCTGATAAGCTTTAAGGTTAAACAGAGATGGATGCATGCATGTTTTTTGTTGAAAGGCAGGTGATATGAGAGACCGTGCCCTCCTGATTACTCCGTCAATGAGGAGAGGGAGGAGAGGTCATGTGCTTGTTCTGAGCACTAAATCGGCATGCCTGGCATCCTGGGTTGGCACCGGCTTTACAAGGTCACAAGCTGCTTAGCTTTTGCTGCTCTGAGTCGCCCGTGCGTGCCGCCATGATCAACTCCACATTTCTCATCAAGTTTAAGCAATAAACCAAACAGCAAGGGTTCTAAGATGAAGATGAGTGTCAGGCTGGCCTCTAGTTTAAATCACTCTCAGAGGGTTGGTCTGTGTTAGTCACATAACACCCATCTTCTCTGGCTAAGACTGAGGCCGTTGTTTCTTCTGGGGACTCAACACCTCCTATCCCTGATGACCAGGCCCTGTGTTGGCAGTGGGGGACGGAAGCCCTGTTCCCTTGTGGAGTCAAAGTGGTAGCACTCAGCTGAAGGGACGGATGAGCCATCTCACAGCATAGCAAGGCTGGGTCGGAAATCCTGGAAGAGTGAAGCGGGCCCAGAAGAATGGCTCTGTGAATATTGCATGGTAGAGAAAAAGAAATGGCTGCTTGTGAGTGACAGGGGCCACCTCCTCGTCTTCCCAGAGCAGCCTGGCCGGAAGGGCTCTCGGCTAATGGAGACGTGTATTTTCCTTATTTGCTTAAAGCACTTTGGTTTCTTAATCACTAGCTAAGAGGCTGTACCTTTTTTGGTAACAAAAATAAAAGGTGTTTGCATAAACAGCCCTGTCAGTGTGGCGGCTTCCAAAACGGATTGGTTTGTAGCAACCAGTAATTAAGAACTACCGGAGGGAACAAGGAAATACAAAACAAAACAAAGCAGCCGGCTGACCTCCGATTTCCTTCCAGAGCCCTGAAGGTCTGAAAAGTTGAACAGCTCAGTGCTAGCGCTCAGGAAAACTTGGGAGTATTTTTGAAGTGTGGGTAGCTGTTTGTTCCCACAGGCACTTTTGTGGGAGTGTGTGTGGTGCATGTGTGCACATGTAGAGGCCAGAGGAGGATGTCAGCTGTCCTGTTCTATCACACACTGTCTTATTCCCTTGAGACAGGGTCTCTCACTGAACTTGGAGCTAAGAAGGCAACAGCAAGTCCCAGCGATTTGATCCTCCTACCCCATGCAGTGGTTACACCTGGATTTTCATGTGCGTGCTAGGATCAGAACTCAGGTCTTCGTGATTGTGAGGCAAATGCTCTTACCTACTGAGCCATGGGAACCCTTAATGGACTATTTCTGTAACTAAGAGCTCTCGATCTACCCACTTTAGGAGTACTGGGGCTACGGAGGGGTGCTGATGTGACCTGCGACACCTCTGGACAGTTCACATTCTGGCTCTGCCAGGTCTGAAGGTCACGAACTTCCCCAATGGCTGAGTGCAGACAGAGCTTGATATCACACCCAGCCCTTGTCCTGCCGGGTGCTTGGGGCAGCCCAGCACATGTGAATTTCTATTAGCCATCACTGACAAGATGGATCCTGACTCCTTTCTATAATCATAAACCCAAAGATCTTGAGTCTAATTTCTTTTTTAAAAATATTTTCTTTATTTTTTTATTTCATGTGTATGAGTTTATTGCCTGCATGTATGTAAGTGCACCCATGTCATGTGATGTCTGTGGAGGTCAGAAGAAGGCGCTGGATTCCCTGGAACTGGAGTTATGGAGGGTTGTTAGCTGCCATGTGGGTGCTCGGAATTGAATCCAGGTCCTCTGCAAGAGCAGCCAGTGCTCTTAACTGCTGAGCCATCACTCCAGCCCCCTGTCTGTTTTTTGAGGCAGGGTCTCTCACTGACCTGGAGATCACAAGTAGGCTAGGCTGGCTGCCCAGTGAGCCCAAGGGATCGGCTTGTCTCTGCCTCCCCCGAGATGGGATTACAAGTGTACCACTGTGCCTCACTTCTTTAATAACATGAGTTTTACGGACAGAACTGAGGTCCTTGTGCCTGCAAGGCAAACACTTTACCCAGCCGTCTCCTTAGCCCTGTACGTAGTTTTGAAAGCACTCAATTACAGAATAAGAAATTGGGTCAGTATTTCCTGAGTGTAGAGGAGACCACAGTAAACTCAATGTTACTTCCCAGCAGTATTCCTGGGTATTATCTTAAGGGTTGTGTAAATATGGTCATGTGAACATTGTACAACGTACTTAATCATCTCTCATTAAGTTCTTACAAAAGATCGACAGTTTTAAATAACATCCAATGAATGTCTTTGTGGAGGGAGCCAACTATAGCTATTTGTCTGTGTCTGCTTCTGTGTCTATACCTGTATCTATGTCCATGTCCATGTCCGTGTCCGTGTATACATCTGTATCTATCTACGGTGTGCCTATGACTATGTTTATATATATACACTATATCCATCCACCCATCCATCTATTCATCCATCCATCCATACTTGCATACACACATGCACACACACGCATACCTACATATACACACATACATGCGTATGTACATATACCTATCATTGATAAATGGTAGATCCTTAGATGTGGAATTACTGGGCTCAAGAGAATTGGTATTTCAGGTTCTTTTCTTTTGCATGTGTATGTATGTGATATATGCATGTTTTCATATGCGTGGACACGTGTTGGGGTGCACATGTGCATGGTGTCCACAGGCATGTGAAGGTCAGAGGTTGATATCGGGTGTCTTCCTCATTGCTGTTCACTTTATGTATTGAGTCAGGGTGTCTCCCTGAACTAGGAGCTTCCCAGTGTGGCTAGTCTACCCAGCTGGCTGCTGCAGAGATCCTGGAGGGTGCTGGCTGGCAGGTGGGCCAGGCCAACCCGGCTGTTAGAGCTGGGATCTGAACTCTGGCCTTCAGACTTGTGTGCCAAGTGCTTTATTAGGGGAGACATCTCCCCAGCCCCTCAAGGTCCTTTCTTTCTATTTTGATGTCTCCTCTAGAAAGCAGATACTACCCCTGTTACATCAGGCCCCTATCAGGATGGGGAGTGTTTGACCCAAGGCCTGCCTTATCTCTAAAGAGCAGTTCATGACTTTGCTCAGAAAGCGAAGTGTAAGACTTGTATGACTCTCATGATGGCTGCTGGAGCACATGACCCAAGTTAGGCCTTGAAGAGACTCAAGTTCCATTCTGGGACTTATTTCTCAGGTACACAGGGGCAGGGCAGCTCTCTTTCTGTTGAATTTGGAGACGGCAGGACATAGTTTGGAGCAGCTCATGGCTATGTGGATCCACACAGAGAAGGTCATCTTGATAAGGTAACGCTGGCCCAGAGGTGGGGACAAAGGCCTTTCGGGACTGTCTGTGGTCCTAACTGCCATCTTAGGACTCAAGTCACTTCTCAGATCCTGTGGGTCCTACGAGTGAACGCGTTTCTCCTTCCTCAAGGCGTTTGGTTCAGAGGTTCTGTGAGGAGCCACCGGGAAGTTCTGACTAATAGTGCATCTAATGTTGTGATCAGTTATCTGGCTATTAGCAAGAAAGAATAGGGGGAGCTGTCACACCCTACCGGAGTGTCAAAATGGCCTCCTCATGACAGCACGTGTTCAGAGGTTCTGTGAGGAGCCACCGGGAAGTTCTGAGTAATAGCGCATCTAATGTTGCGATCAGTTATCTGGCTATTGGCAAGAAAGAATAGGAGCTGTCACACCCTACCGGAGTGTCAAAATGGCCTCCTCATGACAGCACGCGAATCATGTCCTGGCCACATTCATTTTCCTTTTAACACTTCCGTGCAGAAAATAATATTTTTTGCACAGAGAATGTTACTTGAATTTTTCTTTGCATTGCTTTGTGCGTCCATTTAACTGGTAGTTAATGAACATCGAGTACAAGTGTTGTACTGGATGCTAGAGACCTGGAGCCATGGGAAAACA